TACTCTACACCTGGGCACAGCTGGCCAGGCCTGGTTAGATGGCCAGGGCAGGGGTGACTTGCTTGAGCCATGCAGGGACCCCGACAGTGACGAGGGAGAGGAGGACAAGGGGGGGGCTGAGGAGGAAGGCCCCTCCACTTGGGACCCTCCTCCTCTTCCTCTGTAGGAATTCCAAGGTCAGCATTTGAAATTCAGAGTGGCTGGGGGGGGTGGGGGGGTCCTGAAGACCACCTGCAGGACAGGTGCTCCACTTTCCCTGAATTTCAGGCAAACATCTGCAGGTCCCTTAAAGACCCCCAAGGTAGCAACTACCCAAAGGCTAAACAAATGTGGGGAGGGGGTCTCTCCAAAGGAGGCAGAGAGGTCGATGCCCCCCCCGTCTCCCCTGGGAGAGGAAGTCTCCCCGATACCCTCAGCAAAGGAGGGGCTTCGCTTTCAACAATGCGGTTCTCTCGGACGAGAGAGGGTCCCAGCCTGGTTGGAAGCCCCCAGTTGGGGAAGCCTGAGGCTGGACTGGGCAGAGGAATCCGGCCCTTCATCTTGGGAGGTGGAAGAAACACGGGGAGAGTTTATTCTGCACCTGTTGGGCTTCCTCAGGGGGATCCCGAACCAGCTGCCCTGCCCAAGGGGTCAGGAGGGTGGAGCTACAGGGATGCCCCCCTCCCACTTTTTAGTCCATTTTGATCAACGTTATGTGATTCTGCCATTTATCCATCCATCCATCTATATCTGTCTATCTGCTTCTCTCTCTGTCTCTCTCTCTCTGTCTCTCTCTCTCTCTCTCTCTCTCTCTCTCTCTCCATCCATCTATATCTGTATCTGCTTGTGTCTGTCTGTCTATCTATCTATCTATCTATCTATCTATCTATCTATCTATCTATCTATCTATCTATCTATCTATCATCTATCTATCTATCTATCTATCTATCTATCTATCTATCTATCTATCATCTATCTATCTTATCCATCTCTCTCTCTATATATATATCATCTCTCTATATATAATTATCATATCTATCTATATATATTTATATATCTCTCTATCCATATCTCTCTCTATATATATATATCTTCTCTATATCTATCTATCTATCTATCTATCTATCTATCTATCTATCTATCTATCTATCTATCTATCTATCTATCTATCCATCTCTATCATCAATCTATCATCTCTCTCTCTCTCTCTCTCTCTCTCTCTCTCTCTATCTATCTATCTATCTATCTATCTATCTATCTATCTATTTTATCCATCTCTCTCTATATATATATATATCATCTCTCTCTCTATATATATATAATTATCATATCTATCTATCTATCTATCTATCTATCTATCTATCTATCTATCTATCTATCTATCTATATATATATATATATATATATATATATATATATATATATATATATATATATATATATATATATATATATATATATATATATATGTGAGTCTTTGGTCATTCGGGTTTTCTCCCGTGTAAGATTAGAAGTATCATAGCGACGTTTCGATGAAATCACATTCATCATCATCAGGCTTGTGCTTTTAGCTTTGTGCTTCT